CAGGACAACTCCAACATGAACATTCCCTAAACCTTAAACGCTAAACCCAAAACCCTAAAACGCAGGACAACTCCAACATGAACATTCCGAAGACCTAAACCCTAAACCCCTTGAAAAGCAGGACAACTCCAACATGAACATTCCGAAGACCTTCGCTGCCATGGCGCGGTTCAATGCCGCCGTCATGGGCTCCCGGCCTGTCCTCGGTTCTGAGCTTCGGAGTTTGGGGTTTTGGGATTTAGGGGTTGGGGTTTAGGGGTTTAGGGTTTGGGGGTTTAGGGGTTTAGGGTTTGGGGGTTTAAGGGTTTAGGGTTTGGGGGTTTAGGGGTTTAGGGTTTGTAGGGTTTGTGGGGTTTAGGGTTTAGGATTTGGGGGTTTAGGGTTTGGGGGTGTAGGGGTTTAGGGTTAGGTCAAGTGTTCGTCCTGGCGGAGTCGCAGCAGGCCAGTTGCAACAAGGGTTCAGGGTTTAGGGGTTTAGGGTCTGTTGCACAAAGGGGTTTAGGGTCTGTACGAGCTGGATGCAAAAGGGTCTTTACGAGGGATTCAGGGTTTAGGGATTATAGTCCCTTTTTAACCCTACAGGTTAACCTTCAGTTCCCGTGCTGGACAAGTAGGACGAGGCAATCTATGCAGGGCTTTAAGGGTTTGTATCAGGGCCTCTACAAGGGTTTCGGGGTTAGGGTCTAGGGCCTTACGATTCTCGGGCTTAGGGGGTTTAAGGGTTCGCTGAGGGGTTCCTGTACGGGATCAGGGTCTACTTGGGGTATTTGGTGCTACAAGGGTTGGGTCTACGGCGGTTTTGTAGTTAGTAGCTATGGTAAGGAATGCGCTGGTGTCTCTATGTATGTCTCTCTGTATGTGTATGTATGTATGTATGGATGCATGCATACATGTATGTGCGTGTTTACACAGACTGTGTATGCTTGTCTGGTGAATTACTTGATGCTTTGCGGCCCCGGCTGTCTGACCGGCTAGGTATGCACTACATAGGTACATGGCGCCGTCGGGTAACACCCATCGGCAGTTCGTATGGGGGACACAAACACGTCGATTGCATAACAAATATATGCTTTGGGCTTAAGGCACGTTGCTCACCAAGAGCCGAGGTACAGGAGACCGGATGTGGTTTGCTGACATGCTCTATGCCATGGAATCTCTCGTGCCTTACATTGGCTACTTCCAGGAAAACCCTAGCAAGACGTTGCTGTTTAACTTCGGGTTAAGCGCTCGTACTTGGGCAGTGGGATGTCACGTCGTTGTTGAATTCGCGTAGTTCCATACGGGAGTCCAATAGCTTAGCCTGCACTTCCCGAAAGCAAGCACGCAAGTGAGGCAACATCGACCGAGTGCAGGAAGACTGCGATGTGTTGACTCTTACCCTTGCGAAGTATGAGAAGGTCAACCTCAAGGAGTTCCGGTCTGTGATGTTTGCCAGCCTTAGATCACTCCTGCCCACCACCTGGAGCTCGGAGCATGAGAATGCCTGGGCCTGGTTCTGGGGCATTGTGGAGAAGAAGGTCGAGGAGAACAAGCAGCTCCCCGTGCACAACCACCAGTGCCTCAGAAGTTTCCTTGCCCGCATGGATGAGGAGACTCGTTCCCTGGACCCCGACACAGCAAACCCCAACTCCCAACCCCCTGAACCCTGAAGTCTGAAGCCTAAAGCCTGAACCTCTTAGTCTAAACCCTAAACCCTAAACCTTAAACCCCTAATCAGCCAAAATAGATCTAAACCCTAAACCCTAAACCTCAAACCCCTAATCAGCCAACAAAAACGTGGATGAGGAGACCCTTGCTGACTTCAAGCTCAAGGTCTTTGACACCTTCTTCGCAACGACTGAGGAGACCCCAAACCCTAAACCCTTAACCCTACTTGGAGGTTCAGGAGTAGCTGTAAATGGGGGTTATAAGTAGGGTCACTATAATTATAGCCCATATTAGGGGGGACTTATAACTCCACTTATAACGACCCATGACCCTCCAAGTACCCTAAACCCTAAACCCCAAACCCTACATGATATTCTGCTATAATTATAACAAGGAAGCTTAAGGCTCCTACATGATTTAGGGTTTGGGTTTAGGGTTTAGGGTTCAGGGTTTAGGGCCTACATGACCCTAAACCCAGGCCCCAACTCGCAACGACTGAGGAGTCGCAGCTGTACCTGCGCGCGGCCAACAAGCGCCTGATGTACATCATGGGGCGGCCGCTGGGTTCTGGCTTATAGCGTTTAGGGTTTAGGGTTTAGGGTTCATGGGACGGCCGCTGGGTTCTAGCTTGTAGTGTTTAGGGTTGAGGGTTTAGGGTTTAGGGTTGTAGCTTATAGCACTCTTTGGGAGAATATGATCCCTTCTGGGTTCTAGCTTATAGTGTTTAGGTTTTAGGGTTTAGGGTTTAGGGTGTAGGGCCTATTATCTTCATGGGCTTGTAGCACTGTTTGGGATAATATGATCCCTTATAGAACTGAAAGTGTACCCGTTTTGGGGCTTATGAACTCAGCAACTGAGATTCTAGACCCAAGTATCCCGATTGCTCCACGGGGTTTGATGAGGCCTCGACAAGGATTTGCGGAGGGTTCTTGTTAAGAAACGCAAGTTAAGTTTCTCTGGCTTCTTACAAGTTCCCGAACAGCAGCCTAAACTTTATAACCCTAAGTAACCCAAACCCTAAACCGTGAAGAACTCAGGATTTTGACGATCATGTCCGACATCTACACGAAGACCCATCAAGCGGTGATTGCCCTGTCTGCTCTTGGTCTACTCCACGCAGGACATGGGGTCCCCGAGGATTTGGTGCGCCCCTTCGTTCAAGCCTTCATGGGAGGAATCAAGGAGAACTGTCCGGATGAGTCGTTGCATGATGGGCTTTGGTGGACGCTGGATCTCATCGGCAGGATCTTCATCCGAACTTTGGCGGAGGGCTCAACACCTGTGATCATCGCCATCAACAGGAACACTGCCAAGGCCATGAAGACGGCTGTCGCGAACTATCCGCGTGGGGAGCGCGAGGTGATCTTGCTCAAGGTCCAAGTGGGCACCGAGTCCATGTCTCCCCTCATATGGGCCGTTGAGAAGCTTAGAAGCAAGCTAGGTGACCCTATATCTTGGCGTTCATTCAGGTAAGCTTTTGGTTACCTGTTGGGTTTTATATAAACCTACAGTACCCCAACAGAAGCTTTTTGAGGCCCGGGAACCCACGAACTGAGGAAGGGAGCCTTGGAGAGTGCCAAGGAAATCCTCAACGACTTGCTCACCATGCGTGCAGACCGTGCGCGGTACTACTACGGCATGGAAATGCTCTTCACCCGCCACTCGGACATCATCAGCCTGCTCTGCACCAAAGCGCCATCCTTGCTTCCCACCTTGTTTGATGGCCTCATCTGGCGTTCCAAGAATGCCACTTAGCTGGCCTATTGGGAGCACTTTAAACTTTTTGGCCTTACACATCTGGTCTATCTTTCAATCAATATCTGAACTTAAAACCACTCTTAAAACCCCCAACCCTCTGAACTCTTTTCTTGCTTCGGTTTTTGAAGAAGAGAGGTCAAGAATGGTATGCGTCGCGCGAACTACTACATCGCTTCCTTGCTGCTCAGCAGCCCAGTAAGTTAGGCTTGATAGGGTGTACGTACCATAGGAGCCTAAATAATTACCAATACTATTTTGGGGGTTCCTTATTAAAGTTATAGTATAGTGGGCCCCAAAACCCTATTCTAATTATTATAAGGCCCCTATATTGGGGTTTAGGGGTTCGCGGTTTAGGGCCTTAGATGTTAGGGGTTAGCGGAATTGACATGCTTGTGATCGCCAAAGGCCTCTCCGGCACTGGACACTACAAAACCATACAAAACCCATTGCTCTAGCATGTGCCCCAGGAAAAGAGGTTCCAGTCTATAGTGAACCTTAGAGCATAGCCTACGAAAGGTTCACATGCGACCCGACCAGCCCAGCATCCCCCCCCAGACCCTATACCCTAAACCCTGAACCTATATCTAGCAGATTACGAGAACCCTTGGATAGGATGTCGGGTGGTCCTGGCAAACCCTTAAACCTGAAACCCCATCCATCCCCAAAGCCCTAAAACCCCAGGCCCTGATATGCTTCGAGTAGAGTACACCCCGCAAAAAAATCCTGTCCAAGTTATTCCTGAGGCTTCTTCCCTGGTGGCCCCAATGCTCTCCCCCCCTACTCCAATCATTCAGACCCCTACGATAGGCTGAGAGATGAAAATGGCCAGCTAACGGATTCCCTCCTGGACCTGATCAAGCAAGGAGCGGGTTTAGGGTTTATTGAGTTTAATGGGTTTTCGGAGGTGCTGCTTCCCAGCTGATTGTCAGAGTCTGGGTTCACCAAAAACTGGGTTTTCGGAGATTCGGGCGTATTGCATTGCAGTCCCTGCTCCAATAACCGATTTTCGGGTGCTAGGGTTTAGGGATTAATGTAAGGGCCCGAATAAGGTTTTTTGATAAAAACCCGAGACCCTATTCTAATCATTGAGGCCCCTATATCAAGATAGCGAGCCGATGTTAGAGGGTAGTTGGGGGCTCTAGGTAAACCCTAAACCCTAAACCCCTGAACCCTAAACCCTAAACCCTAAACCCTCAAATCCTAGACATTCTGAACCCATGGCCGCGCAAGAATCCTTATACAGAGGGAACCCTCAGCCCTCCAAGCATACAGCCCGTAGCCCAAATATGGAATCGACAACTCCAGGTGTGTCTTAAAACCCTGAATCCTATACCCTAAATCCTCAATTCTAAATCCTCTACCCTAAATCCTAAACCCTAAATCCTAAACCTTAAACTAAGACACCAGGGGCACCCTCGACCCGAAACCCCCCAATCCTAGCCCCCAAAGCCTGAAGCCGATATCCTTGAATCCCGAGAAGCCCTACCACCCTTAAGCCCTAATCCCCAAACTCCCGATCTCCTAGACCCCGAACCATAGAATGAGGGGTTTAGGGTTTAGGGCTCAGGGGTTTAGGGTTCAGGGTTCAGGGGTTTAGGGTTTAGTGGTCTAGGGTTTAGGGGTTTGGGGGTCTAGGGTTTAGGGGTTTGGGGGTTTAGGGGTTTAGGGTTTAAAAAACGCCCTGAGAGCCCCAGGGGATTGCGAGATCATTTGCCATCCGACGGTGGTCTTCCAAGCGGACCTCCTTTGGACTCGGCTTTGTTGCCTGCCCTGGGCCCTGACGAAGCTGCTTGATGCAATTAGGGGATTGCTTCTTGTCGGTTTATATGTGAAGGATATGTAAACATCTGTATAATTAGGGGGTTGCTTGTTGTATGTATCTGTAACCTATACTTAGGCGCCCAATAGGTAAACTTTGTGAACTTTTTTTGGGGGAAAGAAGCCCCCTACAGTTGAGTTTTTTTGGGCCAGGGTACTGGGAAGCTAAGTATAAGCCCCCAAGCCCTAAACCCTAAACCTTACACCCCAAACCCCAGCTCTACAGCCTGGTCTTAGTTTAGCGGGAGTGTTTTTGGGGGTTTGGGGGTTTGTGAAAATCCCGGAACCAAGGAGTTTAGGGTTTAGGGCTCAACCCTAATCCAGCCGTGCCCAGGTGTTGGTTCTGCCTCACTCTCGTCCTTTATATCATGGCGGAGCAGTAGCTTGGAGACCCATTTTGGGCAGCCTAGCAATCGTGGTCCCTGAACCCCAAGACCCTCAGAGCATGTAGCCCTTAAATCGCCATAGATAAGCCCTCAAGCTCCAGACAGCTAGTGACAGCAAACGTCCGAAACCATTGTTTCTGAATCCACAACCCTAAACCCTACATTTCCTATTTCTTGTAGGGGTTATAATCAACTGCAAGAGGGGTTGCCAGGCTCATTTCTCACAGACCGGCGCTGTAGGGTTAACAGGTTTACAGGGATCCCTGTGTTTTGAGCTTGGGTTTGTCAGGGTTTAGGGTGTAGGGGTTGGGGGTTTGCGGTGTGTTTTGTGGGGCTTAGCATAAGCCCGGAACACTAAACCCAATGCATAAACGGGCACTCGAGTTTGCAGGGTCTTCACGGTTCGGCCCTGAGCATGACATTTGTCAGGACACTTCATTTGGCTTTGCAAGTACTTTGTTGGATGTTATGCGAAGCTTGCTGTTTGACATCTTGGCCCAACCCCTTGCCCGTGCGACCCCCCTCCCCCCAGAGTCCTACAATGCTTGAATAGGACGCTCTTACACTTCTCAACCCAAACGAGCACAACCACATCGTGGTGTGCACGTGCCGTTGGCCCCAAAAATATCCTCAAGCCCTGCGCCCGACAGCACCCGACAAATATCAGCCATGAACAAAGCAAACTGGAAATATCTCAGGCAAGCCATTGTTTCAAGTGATCCGTTGAGCACTGCACCTTGGTTTGAAGGGAAGTTCTATGTTTCATTTAAAGTAGTGGCCTAAATAATTACCAATACTATTTGTGGGGTTCCTTATTATAATTAT